TACTATGTAATATCTGCATAATGAATAATAAAGGAACTGAGGAAAAGACCTCACTTAAAAAAAAAAAAAAAAAAAAAGATGGGTCGTATTATTACATTCGTATCAGGGTATTGGTTATTAGTTTTAAAAGCTTTGAGCATTAAAATAAAGTGACTATTTTTTTAGATCGTCAGGAATTCATTGTTTATTATGTTTGATATGCAAAAATGTAAAAGTAATGCTTGAGCGACCTATATCAATGGTAAAATTTTCACTGATTGTTCATCGAAATGGTAACTCAGGTTAATTTATTCATTTTCCGACTAATTAAAAATTTATCCCTATCCATTGAGTGAAGTGCTTGAGAGCACCCTTAGCCTGTTCTCAAACGCTCCCTCAATGAGTTAATGAACTATTTGATTGGTCGAAAAAAAATTGATCGTGGTCAAAAAACCTGGAGCTGCAACCACCAATTTTTTTTCATAGAGCTGCGCTTATTGATTAAAAGTTAGCATTGATAGAGTAATATTAGAGTAATCAAAGAGATTGTTCAAGCATGTTATCTCATTTAATATTTTTTTACAATTTGGATATTAATCGAGGTCATAGTTGATGCCAAAATATTATTATGTTACTCTTCGTACTAGAAACTTTAAAGCAAATAAAACCAAAATTAATATGCACTTTCTATCTATAAATAATTATTTTATAAACATTAAAGAATTCGTATAAATAAGTTATTTGGAAAGTTTTATGAATCAAAATCTAGCTTTACCTTTTTTTGGAATAATCGATTGATAGCTCAAGCATCGATCATCAACTTTAATTAATTGTAACTTCTCTAATACTGTAAGTAATAAAAAATAAAGATTCATTTTATCCCTACATACTTTTACGTAATATTGCATTTATAATCCCCGTGGGCTGCCATTGTTTTTATGTGTGTGACTTTAACTATTGCAGTATTGGCTTATGTAATACCTGACTGATGTACTGTACGTAAGTAACCAATCAGGTTTTTTAAAATTTTTAAAATTCCAAAATTCGTAATTTTCAGCATTGAAACGATCGTAACGATGCTTTCAGAGACATCACAAACAAGAAGTTGGCTCAAGGCGAAGCTTCAAGCTATTAAAAGAACCGGTTTACAGTTTTCTGATGACATTTTAATATCTATACTGGTTTGTCTCATGTCAAGAGACAAACACTTAATTTTGACTTGCAAACAAGAACATACGGAAGAGTTAAAAACTATGATTGAACAGGTATTTTATTACTGTTAGTTTAATTTTTTGTTTAGTATAGATTTTTTTATTATACCATTAATAAGTCCTTAATTATTATTATTATTGTTTGACTCGAGATCTTTCATAATGTTTTCGGCTTGACTTGTGCAACTGTCACTTGCGATGCTTCGCAAACTCCTGCTGACTTTATTGCAAATCTTTTTAGCCGACCAAAAGACGATAATTCTCATTCTTCAAATAATACTCATATTGGTAATTCAATTCAAAATAGTGCTGAGGATTCACTTAATCGATTAAAGCAACAAAAGTCTTACAGATCATTAAGGACAACAAGTTCGACAAATTCAAATGAGAAAAGGCCTTCGCAAGAATTTAAAGGAATGAATCGACATTCTAATTTATCTTATAGTCCTAGTCATCTAAACAACAAAGATCCATCTATAGATTCTAGTTTTAGTGATGAATCTCCAATTTTTGCTGCTAATAATATTGACGATGAAATATCAATAAATGAAGCTGGTGAATATGGTTCACGAAAGGTATGGGGTAATGTGTATAAATTTGTTAAATATATTTTAAATATTTTAAACATGTGGAGGATTTTTTTTTCCATACCATTATCATGAGATAAACTTACTTATTTACTACGAATATTTAACGGGATAGAAAAACGAACGTTCTCGAACACTTGATTATCCTAAAGAAATAAATTTTATTTCATCTGCGGCACAGAATTCTCAGGCACGTAAGAGAAATACTTTTCTCACTTCAACAGCTTCTCAACCTATTGACATTCCAGAAAGGCCTTCTACTCCATCTCGTCCAAGTCTTAGTATATATACTGGTTCACCACGAAAAAATACATATTCTTCAAATTATTCCCACCTAAACTCTTATTCTCAATCTCCTAATTATTCCCACTTAAACTCTTATTCTCAATCCCCTAATACTCCAATTGATTTTTCATCTTCCAAGAGAACGCATGGGAGTATAGGCACCGGTGGGTTTGAATCTTATTCTCCTCATAACTCTGCTTCTCGAAAATTGGCTCAGGCTGTGATAATTGAGAGTTTATCTTATGCGAATGAAATCATATTTGCTTTTTTATTGGAGGTAATCTTATTATTATAAATTTACTACGAATTTTCTGATTGAGTATTGATCGTTTTAACTTATAGATTCTGGCTAATAAAGAAGTAAACGATAAATCAACCACTTTCTATTTACCAAAACCATTTCTTATTGTAGCTTTATTACCAGAATCTTACCCAAGACATAGTTTACCTAATCAATTGGTATTATATTTTATATTATCTAACCATTTTTGTTTTTGATTATTTTTTTTTTATAAAAAAACAATTAACTGAATCAGTTTCTTTCGTTACATTGAAAGATTGACAGATTTTTCTTAAGCCATATGTACGAAGGAATAATAGGATTTGGAAAGTCTCCAATTGTTAGTCGACGGAATCCAATGATTCGTGAAACGGTATTTACCTTTTTTTATGGAATACACTTTGATCCACTGTATTATTTGACATATTAAAAAACATACATATGGATTATCTAGGAAATCGAAAAATTATCAAAAGATATGGACAACGTTTCAGTTCATAATGATATGCAGCGATATATGCGAGATATTGTTGTTGGACTACGTACACATAGAGTTGTCAATAGAGGAATAACTGCTCGAGCTTCAACTGACTTGGTAACACTTGTAAAGTAAGTTTTTCATTTATTGGCTGATTAAAAAGGTAAATAAAAAACATTAATAAATTTATTATAATTTTTTTTAGGGCATTGGCTGCTGTGTTTCAACGTAACTATGTTACACCAGAACTAGTGATATTTGCAAGTGAAAAAGTGTTTTCACATCGAATAATATTACGAGAACCAGGTGATGATAGAAGTACAATGTATGGGACAAGTTTGAAGACTTTGTTAAAAAAAATGAGAACTAATGCAACACCGGGAGATGTTATTGCGGACGTTCTACGAGCTGTTTATCCTCCTGTGTGAAATTTTATTATATTGACATTATTTTTAATAATTATTATAATATATAGTTATTTATTGTACAATTATAATACGATAGAAGATTATTAGTAATAGATATATTTTAATGCATGCCAATAATATTTATCAAACCATTACAGCATTGTAACTTAATCTTTAGTTGTATAATAGTAGATGACAATTTTATTATTAAACCATCGATTTGACTTGGGCGTTTTTTAACTTTGTTTTAGCCGATCAAAATATTGATTGGATCACTGTATTCTTTTAATTTCAACGTGAAGTTTATATGCTTCGCGTTATTTTCCGATTTATATTGCTTCGAAATTAAAATATTATTCGTAAATTAAAAATCTAAGTTATTTCACATCGGTGTAAACTTGAATCTGTCGAAAAATCCGTTGAATGATCCGATGGGTATCCGAATATTTTAATCTTGTGGATATTTTTTTTTGATACTGATTATCCGAAATTACTGCTTATTGGAATTGTAATCGTACTTGCGACAAATAATTTTAATTTAAATATCATATTTGATAAATAATCAAAAAGATTTTAGTAGAAAATCTTCGCGAAGTAACGGGCATGGGCGTTATTTAGAAAATCGTGCCCCCCTGAAATAACGCGTCCTAAAATGACGCGCGCCCATACTAGGTTTCAGCAAATAATTATGTATAGGAGACAGGATTAGGATAAATTTTATCTTTGTTTCAAAATAATGTTCAGACGCGTACTCTAAATAACGCTCTGGTTGTTTTATTTCGGTATGATCGTAAAACGTAGTTGCTTAAATGTGGCTATGTTTGGACGAATGTTATTTCTAAAGGAACGTAAATTATGTTGGGCGATTTTTTTTAGGCTGGCAAAAAATAATTCCTAGCTTATATAATACAAATACGCGTAATACTGTAACTTCAACAATTTAAAGGTTATCATAGATAGGATATCTTTCTTCTGTTTGGTCAATTTATATAGTTTGAAGTACCTTTTCCAAAAATGTAACACTTCACAAACAAGGAATAAAACTTAAGGATATATAGTATATATTATTTATTATGTTTTATAAGTATTTTCAATAAAAACCTTTGGATAAAAACCTATACTGTATTAAGTAAAAGCGTACGTAAAAAATTATAAAAATGTTAGAACAATTTCTTTTTTGGATAAAATGGGCAAAATGGCGGTGTCAATCCGAAATCGGCGAGTCTGTTACTAGGACGAAGTTAGAGTCGTGTAACCAAAGATTAGGTTTCGTAGGGTCGAAAAAGGTGTGTTAGATTTGGACGAGTGGTTAATAAACGAATGTACAGTATGTATGTTTATTATATTTGTATAGGTACTTTATTATTAGGTAAATCGGGAACTATCGTTTCCGAAGGGCCAGAAGGCCTTTATTTATAATTATTAATTCATGTATTTACATTCATTGGAATCATATATATCTTTAGAATCATCAATAAACCCAATAGGGTATTATTAAGATCATCCTAATCCTCCAGATCTGGCGGTTCTGACATATCCGGGATATCTGGCAGATATGGATGGGAATAGGGCCACCGAAAATCTGCAGATGCGATAGCATATTGGGCATATCAGAGTAGATTTCGCATTATTCGGGGTATAATTCGTAAAATTTTTAGCGAATTTAAGCAAAATTATAAATTGAAGATCCGGGATTCCGATCAGACAATCAGTGAACCTAAACTAGGGATGGCAAAGTCCTTAAGTCCGGGACTTTAGGACCTGGTTTTGGGACCTGGTCTTTAAAGACTAGGTCCCAATTTTAGGACCTAGGTCCATAGGTCCACAATAGGTCCTAATATAAAATATATTAATAAAATAGTAAACAAAGAATTTTAATTGGTTAGAAAGTATTAGAACTAAGTCCAAGAACTTAATCCTATTGGTTGAGCATAAGTTCTAGGACTTATTATATGAGGACCTGGTCCTTAGGTCCGTGTGATAGGACTTATAGGTCCTAGGACCAAGACCGGACCTGGACTGACTTTACCATCTCTAACCTAAACCACGAGTGTGTTCCTCGGAAGGATGCGGAGAGTTAAGGTCAGTTTTTTTTAAAAAAAGTTCGATTGTATAGATTCTTTATAATTATTGTATGGGTTGTAGTGAATAGTGATTTAAGCCGCATGATTTTAGTCGGCTGGCTAAGCCAGCTGACCAAAAACATCGGCTAAGCGGCTAATAGTGGCTGGCTAGAAAATAAGCTAGCCACACAACCAAACTGACCAAAATTCCAGGTTGAAATAATCGAAATTTAATACTGTAATAAACAGTAGCTTATGTACTAAGTCAAATTGTCCAAACTTTAATTTTGTTATAATATAGTTGGCTAGCATTATAGCTTAATGCCGGCCTAGTTCCGATGTATTCAACTCTAAATTTTGGGTTATATAAAAAAATACTTATTATGTGATTGGTGACCCTTAGCCGCATTAGCCAGACAACAGCTTTATATTGGCTGGCTTAACTGGCTAAGCCGGCTTAGCCGTGGCTGCTTCAGCCAGCTTAAAACACTAGTATTTAATATACCCATACAATAACTATCTTATTGCATGTGCCAATAACTAATAATTATCTGGTAAACTCATATAATTATAAAAAAATTTCTTTTTGTTATTTTTTTCATGTGTTACTATGTAATTATGTTTATTCCAGTATTCAAAATTAAAACACAGTGAGCGACTCCCTACCAATCATGATTATAAATTACCGAATAACACCAATATTGGGCAAATTGTCGACATATGGGCGAATTTTGCAATTTTGGTGATATTCTCGAATAAGATCTACCAATCAGATAAATAAAAATTGTGATTATTATGAATTTGTCTTACATTAAATTCACATTTATTGGTTTATATATTTAGAACAATAGTTACAATAGTAAAAGTGCTATTTCTTTTTACAAAGCCCCAGGTTTTGTTCTTTAATATTGTGGCATGAAAAACTCATATTTATGTTCAACAAGACCCAAAATTTAAAGATCCCAAAATAATTTTTCAAGATCCCAAAATAGGCATAACTTTTATAACAACAATGCCGAAGGACTCACTACATAAAAATACAGGACCATGTGCAATATATGGCAAGAATGACTTTGAAGAAAAATTCTGCAAATTAATATTAAAAATTTTGTCTAAAGCTATGCAAAGTGAAGCTACTTCAAAGTTAAAGATGAAACTTAAATTAGATAACCAATGATGTCATAAACATTATAGTAATCTAGTAGCATTTGATAGAAACTTTTCAAGCCTATATAAAAGATTTGGATTAAATTTAGTTTATAATGTTCAGCAAATACACACTGAAGAGATAGATTCCAATAAACAACTCAGTATTGATAATTGTTACCAAGGTAGCATAGATGTCTATAGTGATAAAAATAGGGTGTTTAAATGTTACTTAAAATTTGTTGGGAATAAAAATTCTAATGGAAAATTAAGTGTTGGGAAATATTACCAAAATGGCATAGGCCTTTCTAAAGATAAAAAAAAAGCATTTAAATACTATATGAAATCTGCTAGTGATGAAAACTCAGGTAGACAATTAAATATTGGAAATTGTTACCAAAATGGCATAGGCATCTCTAAAAATGAAAAGAAAGTATTTGTATAGTACTTTAAATCTGCTAGTGGTAGAAATTTAGATGGGCGATTAAATATTAGAGATTGTTATCAAAATGGCATAGACATTCCTAAAGATAAAAAGAAAGTATTTGAATGGTATATGAAATCTGCTAATAGCAGGAATTTAGATAAGCAATTAAATGTTAGATATTATTATCAAGATAGTATGGGTATTCCTAAAGATGAAAAAAAACATTCAAGTGGTACTTAAAATCTACTAGTGGCAGGAATTTAGGTGGACAATTTAATATTGGAAATTATAGCATAGGCACTCTTAAGAATAAAAAAAAGCATTTGAATGGTATTTGAAATCTGCTAATAGCAAGAATTTAAATAATTAAGTTTTCACTGAAGTATCTTAAATTCTAGCAAGCAAAATGTTAAAAAGTAGTCTTTTTTAGATATATAATCAATAAAAGGGCAAAACAATCATCTTTCTGCTTTTAGAAAGGATTCTGAAAAAAAACTTTCAGCATTAATCATACAACATCAGTTGATTACAAAAAATAAATAGCCAATATTTCATATGAATAATATTCAACTATTAAATTTTAAAAATAAAACTATTCATTTAAATTACCAGTTATTCAATAAAAATATAGAAATTTCCAAATTAGATGCCATTATACAGGTGTGTAGTGAATCTTTGTTGTTTTGAGACAGTTATTATCAATTAGCTACTATAAAATCCAGCTTATCTATGAACATTATACTATAGCACGAAAAATAGAGATAACAGATTTAATAAATAAAATAATCAAGATTGGAACTTTTAATATTGATAGTGATATAAATAGCCAGCTCTATATTCAAGCTGAAGGAATAGTATTCAATCAATATGAGATAGAGAATGGCATTTATAGATCAATTAAATCTATTTTAACTATTCTTCTTCTTATTTGGAAGCAATTTTTTCTACCTGTACTTGTCTTAAGAGATACAATTAAATTAAAACTTGGAGGTGATAGTCATAATTTTTTTTTTTTTTTTTGGTGTTAAGATAACCTTCTTTGGCCTGGGAACTTTTTATTAGAGTATAGATGAAGTTTTATAATATAGTTACAACAATGGTACATTAAGCCACACGTGCACCTTTTGAGTGCCTAATTTAAGTAGTCCACCCGAAGGTTCTATACTATCTGCCATATCTGCACCCCAACTAGAGGGGTACCCATTTAAACTATCTAGTTCTAACTACCTTCATCAACCCTTTAAAACCAGGTGTTCCTCACCATATATTCATGGATTTCAGATTTACTTGTTGTAAATTTTGCACTCTACCTTAGGACTTACTAACTACAATTTGAATTTGTTAATCCCTATCATTAAGACTTACTAACCATATATGGCTAATCT